GTAAAACTTCCAGCATCCATATCCAGCAATGGCTGCATGGCTTTTTTATGACCCCAGTTTCCTTCTCCCTTATTATAGGCTAAGTAAGTCTCTTTATTCTTTAACCAATAAAAGCAACACATAGACAGAAGGACCTCCCACACCAGAAATGAGCCTACCTTTGATGCTGTGTTGCCTGATGTACACAGTCTAACACTGGAATATTAGGGTCCCTTACATACCTGGGGGTTAATATTATGTAATGTATATAAAAGTCACTTTATAAGAAAAAGTGTTCATCATTGTGTACTTTTAAAGTATTCATCTATTGTATGTTAATTTGTTTATAATTCAGTCTGGAAAAACATTCTAAATATGCTACAACTCTATAAGAAGATGTACAAGTATAGGTATTAATATAATTTTAAAAGAGGTATGAATTCAAACTATTTAGATGTAATAACGCTGTATAGTAGTTAACATAATTTTAGTGACATTCAGAAACTTATTTGAGATTTTAATTTATTGGATTCTAATAGGAAAACAGAGAAAATATATGAATATGAGATATAATAAGTATATAACTGTGCAGTATATGTAAATAAGATAATTCCAAATATACGAACATAGGCATAATTTCAGTTAAGAAGTGAGGAACTACTAATAGTTAGAAATTTTTTCTAGAAAATTATCTCAGAAGTACATGAGTTTTACTCAAGTTCCTTTATGTGTGCTAATTGCTTCACAATGAAGAACTATTATGAGTAAGTGATTTGCATCTGGAAACGTATCTCATTTCTCTTATGCATCAGGATTTGTTTTTTTCTTACTGAAAATAGGGTCCTCTCCCATGCAATATGTCCCAACCTCAATTTCTTCTAACTTCACTTCTCTTAGCTCCCCATATTCCTATCCCCTTACCCCATAGCCATTCTCCTTCCATTTACACTTCAGAAATGAGCAGGACTCCAAGAAATGACTGCCAAACAAGGTAAGACAAAATAAATAAGGAAAGGTGAAAGCCCTCATATTAAGGCTGGATGAGGTAACCCAGTAGTAGGAAAAGAGTCTCAAATACAGGGAAGACTTAGACATCCACCAGCTCCTACAGGTAGCAGTCTCACAAAAACACCAAGCTAATGGCCATGACATACTCAGAGTGCCTAATAAAGATGCACACAGGCCTCATGTTTGCCTTTTCAGTCTCTGTGAGACCATGTGAGCCTTAATTATTTTATTTGATGGGCCATGTTCTCTTAGAGTTCTCCATCTATGACGCCACAGTCTCCCAGTATCCTAGCTTTTCTTCTGTAATGTTCCTAGATTTGGTAGAAGATGGACCCAATGGTTACCTCCAGAATAAACTTTTTTTCTCTCTGCATAATATCTGACCTTTTTGTGTTTGATTATACTTGCTGTGTGTGTGTGTGTGTGTGTGTGTGTGTGTGTGTGTGTGTGTGTTCAAGTATATGGAAATACAACCACTGAATTCACTTTGATTTTGTGTGTTTTAGGGCTGACCACCCTGTACTGAACAACTAATAAGGGACTCATCCTAGGCAAGGGTAATTTACTTTCTCTCAGCATAGCTTTCTCATTTCTAATAAAAACAAAGACATGTCAGTTATCTATAAACAGTAATATACTTATTATACACATGTTGTATTATAACCTTATATGTGCAAAATTTATAAATAAAAAAATAAAAGTAAAAATAAGAAGGTGCTTATAAATAGTAAATAATTCCAAAGGAAAAGTACAAAATTCAATCACCGAAAAGTTTTTCTAAAAATCATATGCTACAAAAAAGTTGTATTTTACTCTTAAGTGTTTAGCATGGAGTTGAGTTGATGGGGAGGCAGTGGGAAGAATCTGGAAGAAGTTGAAGGAGGGGAACGATAATCAGAATATATTATAAGAAAAATATTTTTTCAATTAAAAAAGAAATGCTCAAAAATTATACCACCCTATCCTTAAACTCAACTCAGAATTTGTACTTCGTAGTTCCATTAATCACTACTATTTTTGAATGACTGGTTCAGTTATTGGTGATTGCTCTCGTTAGAATACAGGCAGACAGCTTTCTCTAAGCTGTGTTTTTTTGGTGGTTTGAATGTGCTTCCATGATGGTCATACACTTATGAGTATATAAGCAATACTAATGAGACTAGATGAGTTCTGTTTGAGAGGGCCTTGGCAGTGCTACCAGGATCTATCCCTGATGCATGAGGTGACCTTTTGGAGCCCATTCCCTATAGTGGGATGCCTTGTTTAACCTTGATGTCAGGGAGTGTGAATAGGGGAAAACCTGACAGGAATTAGAGGTGGGGCAATGAAAACAGGAGTATTCTGGGAAGAAGGAAGTTTTCCCCTGCAGTCCTGCCCAGATCACCAAAGAAGCAGGATGTGACCTGCCCTGCTGAAAAAGGTACTGAGCCATGTGGCTAACATAGATAAGAATAATGGGTTAATATAAGCTACAAGAGCTAATAAGAAGCCTGAGCTAATGGGCCAATCAGTTTTATAACTTATAGAGATTTCTGTGTGATTTTCTTTGGCGCTTTCCAGTTGTGGGAACTGGGCAGGACAGAAACCCCACAAGCAAGAACCTCATGTTATACTCAGAAAGAGTACTTTTCTGTATAAGGGGAAGTATGGCCCACACTAACTCAGCAGTGGGTGGTCATCTCTTCTCTGATGAGCCATGTAAGAGCATGCACAATGTACCTGTTCCTAAATTCTATTCAGTATTCTACCCCTCTGGTATTCTATATTGTCTTGATGCCAAGAAATGCCTCAGGGCTCTGACTTTCCTTCCTCTTTAATTTACTGAAGTAACATCAGTCGTTAATCAAGTATGTTTAACATGTTCACATGTCCTCTTTCCCTAAGATAATTCTGATTTCTTATCCATCCACATCTTCCTAATTTCATCTGATAAGTTAAAAACTGGTAACTTTTTATTAGTCTTCATTTTATGATGCATTACTGATAAAAAAGTGCTTGTTTGCACAAAAGTTTCAGTCATCCTTCTTCAGTATTACCAGAAATAGAGTAACATAGGGTAAGGCTACCCTATGTTCTGCTGTGAGTAATGCAAAGCAGGTCACAGCCCAATCTTATCAAAAACTATCATCAAAGAAAAATAATTGAAAAATTTTAGGAAGTGGAGTCTTTTTCATAACCCCAATTAAATTGGGTCATAGTGGTTCTTATTGAATGAATGGTGAAAACCATGTATTTACATTGCTCCATCTAGATACTGAAAATGTTTGAGTTTGAGTTAATAATTATTGCTGAAATGCTCTAAGGAGCGAGCAAAAAGCTTTCAATTATGTAAACTCAGCATTGCCAGCATATGAAACGTGAGTGACAACATTAAGGTGAACTGTGGTACTTTCTAAATATGTATAAATCAGAACTTACAAGGAAATGATTAAAGACCAACTAATCTCTGAAGAACTAATTTGCAACTTTAGTTTTCAGATAAAGTGTTGAGGACAGTCTCACCTTGTCTGGAAGACCACCTTTCTCAAGGAGCTGTCGTTCAGGTAGAATGTAAGGTGTGTTCGACCCAGTGTAAAGTACAGGAACGGGTACTGCCATACTGCTCACTGTCCCCTGGATTCACAAGTTTGTCTCTTTCCTACATTTTTACAATCACACATCCACAGTTACCTATATATTTATTTGTCAATTTTGCCTTTTCTCTTTCTTACATGGAAGAAGCAAAGCCAGGAGCCTTTCAGTCCGTAAGTTGATACTCCAATGATGATTCTGAAATTTCCAAATATATTTCATCCTTGGTACCTTACTTTACAGACAGTTCATGCTGATTTTCTTTATACATTATTCCTTCAGAGACCTCAAAGTATGTGGACTTTACACATAGCAATTTCCTAAATCCTTTCTGACATCACATGAAGTTGATGATGTATCTTTTGTTTGGAAGATGTTCCTGAATTGTTTCATTATTTTCCTTGGTTCTCTTCAGCTTTTGCAGAACAATAGCATTATGGTGTTTAATTTCTGTCTCTAGCAGAGAATATAACATCAGTTGTTAGTTGATTATAGATTCAAAAATGGTGGGGTGCAAAGAAACTCAAAAATCTCAAAGTCGTTGATTTTCACATGAAATTTGCCTTATTGCATGAATAACAGGCAAAGGGTGAGGAGCACTCTTACTGTGATCTTGAGCCCTCTCACTCTAGTGACAGCTTCAGAGGTTCAGATAGATTTGTACTAGTTTTCATATGCAAAGAAAAAATTTACCTAAGTTTATTGAATCACTATATTTAGTACCTTTTGTTCTCTTGGAAGTATTTTAAAACATTGCAACTATCTTGATACAAAGAATAAGATATAAGAGTTAGAAATGTTGATTAAGTGCAAAGTCATATTGAAGTGGAAAATTTTAGATAGAAATAAATGTGAAGTGTGTATGTGTGTGTTTGCTAGAATAATTGATGAAATAGTTATTCTCATTACTAAATATTCAAAGACTAATGGTCTACATCAAGTTATTTGATAACTTATAGTTGTGACAATATGAGCATATGTCTCTCTGGAGTCCTAATTTGATTCGTTGAAATATCATTGCTATTTTAAAAATAACTAATACTGGTATGAATTCCAGTGTCCTCCTGCAATGCTCAGAGTTTTTGGAATGGTCCTTGTCCAGACATCAAGTTATCAGATTAAAATCTGAAAGATAAATCCATGTATATAATGCAAGTAAATGTATATGAATTTGCATGTTGGCATATGAGACTTCAGCATGTCTTTTATCATCTGTTAAAAAGACTCTGGGCTGCTATGGAACAAAACATCTAGATGGAGCTTAACATGCTCTGAAAATGCAGTGCTTTCATGAAGCCAACTGAACCTGTTTTCTTAATTCTTTATTATTGCATATAAAAACTAAAGAAGTGTATATGCTGTACGTTTTTAAAAAAATAGGGACAGAGCATTAACACAAAGTTTTCATTGACTTTAGGACATAGAACATTCACTTACACACAATGAGTTCTGCTTTGCAAGTGATATCTGCGACAATACTCAATGTAGAATTCATGACTGGGAATTTGGGGAATGGATTCATAGCAGTGGTGAACATCATGGACTGGGTCAAGAGAAGAAAGATCTCTTCAGTGGATCAGATCCTCAGTGCTCTGGCCATCTCCAGGATCACTCTTCTGTGGTCACTCTACATTATGGTATCAATATTTTCATTGTACCCAGATGTAGAAGTGCTTATGAAAACAGTAAGACTGAATAATCTTATCTGGGTAATTTCTAACCATTTTAGCATCTGGCTATCCACCATTCTCAGCATCCTTTATTTTCTCAAGATAGCCAATTTTTCTAACTCTATTTTCCTTTACCTAAGGTGGAGACTTACAAAGGTGGTTTCAGTGGTATTGCTGGTTTCCCTGTTCCTCTTATTTCTAAATATTTTAGAGGAAGAAATACAAATAGATATGTGGATGGATCAGTTCAAAGCAAATTTATCTTACAGCTACAAATTAAAGGATTTTACACAGATTCCCAAGATACTTGCATTAACAAACACTATGTTTTCATTAATACCTTTCACTATGTCCATGACAATGTTTTTTCTGCTTATCTTCTCCCTGTGGAAACATCTGAAGAAGATAAAGTACATTGCCAAAAGCTCCAGAGATGTCAGCATCACAGTTCACATCAAAGTCTTGAAAACTGTGGTTGCCTTCCTCCTGCTGTATGTTATTTTCACTTTTACTCTTTTTGTACACATTTGGAGTTATGAGTTTGAAGAAAAATTATTTTTCAAATATTTTTGTCCTGTTGGTGTTATTGCCTTCCCATCACTCCATTCATGTGTCCTGATTCTGGGAAACAGTAAGCTCAGGCAGACCTCTCTTCTGGTACTGTCAGTGTTAAGGTGCAAGATTCAAGGATGTGGACCCTTGGGTCTCTGACACAATATTGGGAAGGTAATTTTGCATACTCTCAATGAGGATTATGATTTCATAAGAAATTATTCTTTATTTTAAATGAACATGTTGCAAATAATCTTGCATTTTTGTACCATTATGTAAGGAATAACTGCTAGACAAACAGAAATCAACTTTGAGAAGAATGGGAATATGAAACATAAACATGTAAGAATATTTTAACTAACATAGTTTTAATGGTGGTAAAATATTTGAGATTGTAAATTGTTTCAGATTTTAAAATAATTAATTTATTTTATAGAAACAGCTATTTTCTAGATAAATAGCTCATTGCTTTTTTTGTTTTATTTTACTGTCTAAGCATGACGACTAAAGGTCAGCTCCCTAACAACCAGCTAAAGCTAGGTACATCCCAGCACTCAGGGATCAAACACAGACAAAGCCTGAAGATCACAGGCTGATGACTTTAGCTGAAACAACAAGCTCCAGTTTTAAATGGAAACCGTTTATCAAGAAAATAAGGTTAATTTATAGAAGCAGACATCCAGTGTATACTCATAAACACACAGACATGTGCAGCTGCAGCCAAAAACACCCACATACATATTCATGACATACATACATATAAATAGTGATATAATATTATTGCAAGTAAATGTGCATACCTATGAAACAGTAAAAATAAAATCGATAAATTTTATACACATAAAATTATTTAAAATCTAGAAAAATTGTTTAATTTCTCATGGAGTTTTCTATATAGACTTACAAATCAAGTAGTATATTGGTTTTCTCAGAATCATGGTGACATTTTACTTCTTTTTTCTATGAGTGTTAGTTTCATAATAAAAAACAATGAGTTATATATATCACATTTGGAATATATACATTTGGAAACAAGTCACTATTTTAACAGAAACTAGACTTTAGGAAATAGAAATTTGATGTGTTTAACACATATTAGCAGTTGATATCATGTATATGGCAGCAACTCAAGTATTTATACAGAGCTCAGCAGTACAATGTCAGTTCATATGGAGAAATTGATGTCTCTAATGTAGCAAAACTCTAGGACCTATTAATACATATATAGTAATTGTGGATTGCATTTGTTTTCTGAACTGGCAGTCAGGTGCTTTATCAAAGTGACACATGAATTTTCTATGTCAAGTTCACTGTTTCTTGTTCATATAATCTACATTCTATAATCATTATTTTCCTTCTTTGCTTTGGGAACTTCTTCAGCCAAAAGACTTTACAATACTGGCCCACTTTGATTGTGGTCTCATAAACTACAAATGAAGACAAAAATTGTGTGTGGGCTTCTTGGCTGCTGGATTCAGTTCAAGTTCCCAGTGCATGCAGAGTACCGCAGAGCATTACTCTTCTTGTGAGTTTATCCCCAAATAAATAATCCTTTGTTATACTATCTTCTAGGCTATTGTGCAATTCTTTTGTACATCAACAAATTTGTACACATATCGTTTTAGTCCACAGCATTGCCGGGGCCCTGTTCAGACCCTCAAGACCTCTTCCCTCCCCATACTATTGAACTACACCCCATAGCTGAACTACTCTTCTGGGCACGTGCACAATGTTTGGCTCGGTTGGCCTTCCAGCAACTTGGGAATTACACACTGGACTGTATTCAAGGACCTTGGTTCCACCCACTAAGTGGCTGAGTTACTGCCACCCACAGCTTTTTGCTGCAACTCCTATGTGGCTTCTCTGGCTTCTGCCAGGCCTGTTTTGATCAGGTGGAGCTCTGACTGCAGGAGCAGGAGTTCTAATCTTGAACATGGAACATAGGCTTACTTTCCCAGTTCATATAAAAAAAAATCTGCCTAAGCTCAGGCCAATAACCTCATGGCTCTCAACTGCCTGCAAGTTTTCTGGGTTCCTTGAGATCCTGCCCAACTCAAATGTTCTCTGTATGTGGGTGTGTTGCTCCAAAGTAATTAACTAAATCTGATAGTAATTCCAAGTCTCAAGTAATTCAGTTGTGGCTGTCTTACTGCCACAACTGTGACACCTGCTGGCCAATCAAGGTTATTATACCTACAATAATTTTCTGAAAATTATAACTGAGGTAAGTTAATTTGATTAATAAATAAATAAATAAATTGGAAAATTGTAAATTAACCCCAAGGTAATGACAGACAATATCACCGTCCAGGAATTTAACAAACTTTTTTTTTTTGTTTCTACTATGGATGGAATTCTGCAAGAGTTATATAAACTACCTTGTACATTTATTTTGGGGGCCATGGTGGCTATTAGCTTTGTTCTTCATATTATATCCTTAAATAAAGAGTTTGATAACAGAGTCAGACATAAGAAACTTTTAGGGGGCATACATTCTTTAGCTAGGAGGATTTATAGTATTTCAAATGATAACCTTAATTAGACAGGCAAATTTCAATCCATGTCAATAGGTTATGAAACATTACAAAAGAGCACTGATAGATTTTTCTGAAATGATTTATAGTGCTGATACTGACAATCAAAAATCTGTTAAAGTTATGATAAGCTATCAGATAGAGCATCCCTCCAGTAAGGCAATCTACACACCATCCAAATAATCTCTAAGGATGAGAAGATATTAATGGAAAAATTTAAAACCTTGAAATCATATATACAGAATGAGAATCAGAAATTAATTGATTTGATGAAGTCATTAGAATTACTCACAGGTCAAGAGATTCAGTCTGTACAAAAGACAATGATAAAAAAGATTTGAATTGATTGAGGAACTTGTCAGAACGGATAAGCAAGGAGAGGAGATACAGGCAAAGGATTTAGCATCACAAGTATCTCTCAGAGTCAGAGACAACTTACCAAGAGGTTTAGCGAATTATCCTGTTATTACCTCTGAAAAGCCAGCAAATACTCAACCCAACCAGATACACAAAATGTAAATGGAAACCTATAGGCATAAAAGATCTAAAAGAATATAAGCAGGCAATAGTATCTTATAACATGCGTTTACTATTTTTTAGGGAGATGGTAAAGACATGCACTTCAATCAATAGGCTTACTCCACATGAGTGATTTCAATTAGTGTCAGCAGTGCTAGACTACGGGCCACAGATACAGAGGAAGTGCTATTGGAGAGAGGAGGCTAAAGCCCTGGAACATCAAGGTAGAGTCCAAGGATTTCAGGCTTCCCAAGATCTAATCCTTATTGAGAGCCATTATGCTCATCTATAGAGTCAACCTATTTACACAGAATGCATCTTGTTCATCTGCTATACAGTAGCCTTGAATTCTTAGGACAGGAATCAAGAACAAGGAAAAAAATCTGAATCATATACTAAGTCATACATGGTCTAAGAGAATCCTTTAGAGACTTTTTACAAAGATTAACTAAAGCTGTACATATAGGGGTGACAGATACAGAAGCAAGACAAGTACTTATTGAACCTCTGGCTTTTGACAATGCTAACTTACAATGCAAAAAGATACTTGGGCCCTTAAGGGTCAAGCCAATACCAATGGATAAATGGATCCTGCAAATATTGAGTCATTTGATTATAATACTGAGGCTTGGGTGGAGAATCAATTTCCAAAGGTAAGAAGAGACATTGAAATGCCAAATGTTTCAATTGTGGTAGACAAAATTCCCAACCTAAACTAAACTATCAATGAATCAAACAAATTATGGAATTCCTATTGTATTGACCAACTATCACTGAGTGTGTGCCTTCTCTAGGATGTTGTCGATATTTGCAGGCAGCATCGTTCCATTGAAGAAAACTGATTTCCTTCTCTTAAAAGTTATAAATTGTAGATAGCTCCTTTGTGAGGGGTGGGATTTTAAGTCCATTTTCCTACTCCATACTGACTTTTTTCTTGTTTGAACTTGTATTGGTCTTGTTCACACTATTATAGTTTCTGTGAATTTATATATCAATGGTCCTTCTGTATCTAGAAAATGCTGTTTCCTTAGAGTCATTTACCACCTTTGGCTCTTATAATCTCTTCACTTCTACATAGATATCTGAATCTTGCAGAGAGGGATGTGATACAGGTATCCCATTAAGGATGCAAACCCCAAAGACTTTCACACTTTTATTATTTGGTTGGAGGTTTCTGTGTTAATTGTCATCAACTGCAAGAACTTTTCTGATGATGGTTTAGTGATCTATGTGTTAACCAACATGTTATTAGCCGTCATTTTGTTGTTATGTTCATTTATCAGAAAAATAGTTTTTCCTTTTGTTTATGACTTATCTGTTCCCAGGTTCTTGGTCTCATTTACAATATCAGGCATGGGACCTGTTTCATAAAGTGGGCCTTAAATCCAATAAAATAGTGGTTGGTTACTGTATAACTTAATTCATGCCAGTATTACACAAGTGGGCATCTCGTACAGCCAGAATGTCATTACTTCTCACCGAGTTCAGATTAGGGCAAAATTGATGATTATTTAAATTCTAGAAATGATCATTAGCCTAAACACTTGAAGGTTTCAGCTGATTAGCAGTTAGATTTCTCTATGTTCAGTATTTCTATCCTCTGGTTCTCTGTATTGCCTTGATGCAAAGAAATGACTCAGGGCTTTGACTCTCCTTCTCCTCTAATTTATTGAAGCCACATCTGTCCTTAAACAATATGTTTGATAAGTTCACAGACTCACTTTCCCTGAGATAATTCTGACCTATCCATCTATCCATATCTTCCTGATTTCATCTGAAAAGTTCAAAAGTGGTAATTTTTATGAATGCAATTAGTCTTCATTTTATGATACAGCCTGAAAAAAAGTGGTTGCTTGCTTACACAAAAGTTTCAGTCATTCTGCTTCAGTATTATCAGAAGTAGAGTAAAATCAATACATTGCACAGCCAAATAAATTAGGGTAAAGTACACCCCAAACTTCTGCTTTATTAGAAGTAATGAATAGCAGGTCATAGTGCATTCTCATTAACGACTATCATCAAAGAAAAATAGTTGATGATTTTTAGGAAATGGTATCCTTTTCATACCCCCAATAATTTAGGTCATATGGTATATATTGAATGAAT